AATTCAATTGGTGGAACATCTAAAACGAGCAGATTTTTTCATCACTCAAAACATTTCAGACTACCTCAAGGCGACTATCAACTAAGACTTTAAACACAGTCTGCTGATTTCTTTACAAGGCCGAGCAATTTTGTAAAGGTGTGTTAGCTGTAGTTAATGTTTTAAAGAAGTTATACGAGTCTCCGAACTGAATCTTGAGCTGAACAACTCCTGAACAACTCTAAACTCTATGCAACTCGACAGGGTCTCCCAAGCTGATAAGGAGTCCGGCGCTTCCAATAGGAAGCCAAGCTAAAAGTAAACCAATACCAGGATCCACCGCCGTCCTGGTATCAAACTAGTGACTTGGTGACAAATCACCTTCTATTCCACAAGGGTGGTGACTGCCTGTGGACGTGACCAACTGGAGCAGACCTTGGCCAGGCTGACCTCGAGACTCCAAAGAACCACAATGGCTAAACCAGCGAAACTCGGAAAAAACGGAAATTACGCTGGGGCCCGCACAACCAGTGAAGACGGACCATCCACGTATATAAAACTGCTGTAATCAAAAAAGTTTTAATACATCAGTATAAAAGAACTAACGAAGTGATTCGTATAATGCACGATACAGAATCAAAACACCAAACACAAAAATAAGAAAGAAGATGCAACCCATTATTGGTGACAATGGCGCAGAGCGCATTCAACCCTCGCACCGTATGCACTGGTATCAATTCATAACTACATATGTACTAAACAATTCCATTCAGTGTTTAGATTTACCATATTGGTAAAGTAAACTTTTAAGAAGTGTTTCTATTATAATCCTTCATCTGTTAAATTTCCTATTGATTTTACTTTACATGGCTCATCATTGCATCTTCTATGCGAATCCAAGCACATCTCGGATGCGATTCATTTTCCTCGCAATCATCGTCCTTAGTGGTTTTCGAAAATTTCGTGTGTCCCTTCAGCTTTCGCTTGAGGACTTCGTCTTCTTTGTAAATGTCGCAGAATGCTGGTCGAGTACATTCTTCTTGCAATCTTGGGGATAGCCGGACTAAGGCATTTCCACGTGGATAGGAGGAGAGCGTTAGAGATGGCGTCGAACTAACATCTTTGCTTCCTGAGCGACGACATCACTGACCACTGCGGTATTTTTATGTTTCTTTTGTACGATCTGTTCTTCACATCTACTATGCGAATTTTTGCACTTCACACATTCAAGTTGTTTCCTCAAATCCATCATCTACAAAGGTCTTCCATCCCTTTACGTTTGGCTTCGGCTTCTGTTTGAAGGTTTTTCTTTCATCATGAACGTCGTGGAATCTCGTGGAATCTATTCTCACTGGACTCATGAGATAGCCAAGCTAGGGTATTCTGATTTGGATTGCAGAGAGGGTCTCGGGCAAGGCCGGTACTAATCTCCTGACCCTGGAGTGATGAGAGACTTGTTGAGCACGAAGTGGGACCGAACTGGCACTGCGCACGCGAAGATTTGCATCACCATCGCTCTGCTTTCCGCTTCTAAAGCAAAAATTTATTTTACTGTTTTTTCGGCTAGTTAAACATTTTATTCGTAGCATTATCGAACGATCCACGGATCTTCCGCATAGAAGGATCCTTTGCCAGTTCGCCACGAAGCAACGTCACGCGTCTCCAGATGGCAGGTAGCCATTAATCGCGGACCAAAAGCGACTTTCATCCCCTGAGACCTGGTGGATCCAAGGATTGACTCCCTGTTTTTGCTACTCCAATACTTACGAGTGCGTATTCAAGCATCTGTGCGTGGATGCGTTCTCGTTTATGCGGATTGCATTCTAAAAGTTAGTTCGAGCAAAATCCTGCAATCAAGTGACAGGTGAGAGGACCATAACGAGCACATATATAAATCGGTTCGAATGTGTATTTTTTGGTACAAGCGTAAATGTTTGCAAATTTTGAGCTCATTTTTTCTGTTCCAGAAAAATGCTAATAGTCATGCAGCTGACCAAGGCATACGTGGTGGGGCTGTTGTTGATATAAGGATTGTCTCGCCATAAACGAATTCTACCTCAACGCTCACTCCGCCTTCCAGATCAGTTGTGAAATTGATTGCCAGTTATTACTATTTTTCTGTTTCGTTGTGCACGAAAACGGTATAGTTTTATAGGGGACTACAAAAACTCCGAAGTACTCGCTTGTCGCGGACAGTTTCCAGATACCGCTTGATGTTACCGTGGGGTTGACCTATGGGCTATGTCACCTGCATGAAATCATCAGTACGACGGTGTCAGTCCCAGTACTACTAGTTGTGGCTGATCAAAGTGCCAAGAGAGGATAAATTGTTTATGTAGCCAATTCGTAAGTTTAGTATGAACTCATATTAGTTTCGTTTAGTTGTGAGATTTCAGATGATTGAGTGTATCGTTACAGAAGGGAGCAGCATACTATTGTCAACAGCATCAAAGAAGCCAACGAGCAACTATTGAATCATGGAGGCCTTCAAAAAGTGCGATGTAACGCTTTGCTGTGCGGTTAGTGGCATCGTGTTTTCAGCATCCAGTTCGGTTTAATGTCGCTTAATTTTGAAGGAATAAATGTTGGGCTCTCAAGACTTATGAAATAGGAACCTCGAGAGGAAACGTGTTGTGGGCTCTAAGAAACCTAGAATTTTATTGACGTGACGCAGATGGACACGTTAGCACTGGCAAAAAAAGTGTAAATTCTACCGGGTGTCGAAATTCTGGTTTGATTGGTCGGTGAGGTGTGCGCTAGCATGATAGATGCTCAAATCACGAGATCCGATGAGGTGGCAGGAAGTGGTCGGTGGATTCGAACGCGGTTGGTTTTTCTGCCTCAAAGAAGTTTTTGTTATGACTTTTTCGTTTGTGTTTATGAGGACTGGCTGAAGGTTTATTAGGTATTCAGATCACGTTCCGGCAAGACCTATTGCTGATCGATTCTTCACTAACGAAGCAGCATGCCGATTATCAGAGCTGAGAACCGGTGGTACGACATATTCACCCTCTCTTGTTTCGTATGAGGACAGGAGGACGTGGCTATTGAAGAGATCCAAGTAGTAATCGTGAATGGTTTTTGATTCACCGCAGTGTGTAGCAACGTTTTACCACCTTCTGGGATTAATGGTAGAAACATGAAAACATTCAATTGGAGTGGCAGTTTCGGTGGCACTGTCACTTTGACAGTACCCGCTTTGGCATTGAGTGGCTATCTATTCTCCATTACCACCAACACTATCAAGTGATGTATACACTGTATCCTCTCTTACAATTATTTGTTCAACCCTAGAGATTCTACTGCAAAAATATGCAGTAAATTCCCTGGCATTTCGGCAGATTTGGCCTCCTTCGGAGCCTGGAATGGTAAAACCGATGCGCAATCTACACAGCCGAATGTTTCCATAACCTTAACAGAAAGACCAGAAATCTATGTTCCCAACCACATAGGTAGCAGTTTCTTCAACTTCTCACCGTTTTCTGTGAGTCGTACACTTATTCTACAAATGATGGAGACGAACTGCACAGAGTTCACATCGGTAGGTAATGTGTCTCTCTCAGGTGAAAAGAAAACTCGGAGATGTTGCTTGAGACCTGGCGCTACTGAAAGGCACTATTTACTGCGGTTCATAATGGATCTAAAGAACCTGTGCAGAATGCTTGAAGAGTTCTAAACGTTCGAGTTTCAGATTCCCATACGAGACTGCTGTCTTTTCAGAATTTTCGCCTTGTTTTCTTCGTGCCTTATGCGTTCCTAGTGGAGTCCTTGGTTTGGCTTCGAGTTTCCCACCAAGAAACTCCTTTATACGAAGGCTAAGTGGTTCATCCATTTCACCAATGCAACACTGCCACACACTTTACAAATGACCAGATACACCCCCTCTCCCCTAAACGCTTGCAATCTTCATCTCAATCGTTTGGGCAAATCATGGACTTTTGCGTTTAGTATGGAAGCTCATACAAACCGTTCTACCGATGCGAACTGCCTGGCGTTTCAAAGTGCTAGGCTTTGTTTCAATCACTGCCAACGATTTTTTGACCGGCCTTTTCAAACAATTTATTTTAGAGCTGCATTTATTTCGTTGTATATGCATATACATAAATGCATATTTATGTGTACACAGGCACGCACATGCTGTAACGGCTCACAGCTCGAGAACGTGAGGGGCGTTCGCGGGAGTGCGCAAGAACTATGAACCGTTTGTGAAGTACCTCAAACTTGGGTAATTAAACCTTTATTTGTATACACATGTTACTTACACAACAACGCAAGACTTCTGTCCAACGACTGCGAATGAGGTGGTTCAGCGGGTTTGTTACCTAATAAAACACATTAACAATAGTACACACACCAATGTAACGGCTCACAGCTCGAGGACGCGAGGGGCGTTCGCGGGAGTGCGTAAGAACTATGAACCGTTTGTGAGGTACCTATGAACAATGAATGTATTTAACTTATGTTAACACGGATAACATAATTACACGAAAAGCAACGATAACACTAATGTGTCAGCGATTCAAGGGCTAAAGGCTACATATGGTATCATTATGACCTAAGCAAATGAATCTACAAAGTGAAATTAAACGGGGTGGAATTAATGATGGGGTTGGCAAGGACGGTCTCGACGGCGTCATTGGGTCGAATGGCGGGACTACTGGGTGTGTCCCATGGCCGGAACGGGATATGGACGCAGAGGACGCGCGCGGCGTTGCAGCCACGCGATCCCCATCGACCCTTGAACCGTATTAGTTATATTTCGAAACCGACCTTCCCTAAACCTCAGTGACTAATCAATATGTATTCTTTCTTGATAAGCTTGCACGAGGTTGATAAATATATTTATTTTAGGTCGGTGTATATATGTATGTATGTATGTACGTATGTATGTATGTATGTATATATGTATGTGTTTATGGTGTGTAGTGTGTATATTTTGCCTGGGAGTGTGTTTACGTTCCACATGATATTAAATTAATGTGCTGTGCAGCGGAATTGAGTATTTATTAGAACGTAAATAACTACAAACAGAAGCCGCACGATTTTGGACAGTACTTCCTCCTAAAGCCGTCGGTGGTTGAAAACGTACAGGGCTTTAATCTTAACAACACCGAGCATCTAAAACATACTCTACTCTTGGAGGAATGAAACGGAAATGATTTAGTTGGAAAGGAAACATACATAGCGCTATCCTTGCACTTGGTCGCATCAGAAGAAACTGTAATGAATCGCGTTATAGTATTAAGTAATTTCAAAGGCATGGAATCGCTTCCTAAGAAATTTACATTACCTATTCGATAGCTCAGAACGGTGGTTTTCGGAGAGAATCTGTTATAAGTAATCACAGGGACGATGTTCCGCGTAGAGTTGAATGACATCCCAGCAGATCGGTCATCGCAGAGTCTAAACACGGTCTCAAATCCCATTGAAATCAGAAGAGTTGCTATCACACCTTTTTGAATTTGAATGTTCACCTATAACCAGTCAGACGTGTGTCGTTTCCTGTCTTGATTTCAACTCCCGAATTTACGCACCCATCAGAATACCCATCTCTGCTATAGTTATCAAATCTCATCTCAATCGTTGAGCCAGCCTGTGCCTTAATGAACTCTTGGAAAAATATCTTTAGATCACACCGCGCAGTAACTGATAAACCTTGATCCAGTAGTTGCACATGATAAATTCGTCGTGAGGCTTATCGGGATGGTAATCCTCTCTACCAACGGTGTCAACGAGTCTATTGAACCAGGTCGTTGCGTACAGTGTCTTGCCACAACCACCTGGCTGGAATGATGATTTGTTATGTCTGAAATAAGCGTGGAAAAAAAACTTTTTAAACAGTGGAGTTCGCTTCTAACCCTTTCATTGCAATATCTTCCGCCATATCCACTAGGGCAGACACATCTCCAGCATTCACGTGGATGGGGGAAGCCACCATTTTGACACTTCTTCCAGTGTTTGTCACTACATTTGTCTAAAATGATCCAGTGTTGACATGAGTGTGGAGACACATGAAAACTCTACGTGAACGGTACACTTTCTCACCAAAGCATTTATAGTGAAGGTTGATTGCCAGTTTATCGTAAAATGAAATCATNTTGCGTACAGTGTCTTGCCACAACCACCTGGCTGGAATGATGATTTGTTATGTCTGAAATAAGCGTGGAAAAAAAACTTTTTAAACAGTGGAGTTCGCTTCTAACCCTTTCATTGCAATATCTTCCGCCATATCCACTAGGGCAGACACATCTCCAGCATTCACGTGGATGGGGGAAGCCACCATTTTGACACTTCTTCCAGTGTTTGTCACTACATTTGTCTAAAATGATCCAGTGTTGACATGAGTGTGGAGACACATGAAAACTCTACGTGAACGGTACACTTTCTCACCAAAGCATTTATAGTGAAGGTTGATTGCCAGTTTATCGTAAAATGAAATCATCGGCGATCCAAGAGTTTGTAAATACCTACCATCAGGCTGTGGTATTATGACGGGCTCATTATTGTTAGAAGAGCTAAAATCAAAAGTACTATTTATCGCTGTCTGTTGTAATTTTAAATGAGATTTGGTGTTGTAATTTTAAATGAGACTTTTGACTGGTGGTCCGAACCTCTTTGCTGAGTACTGCATGATACTACCGTAATCGTAGGTGAGGTTGTAGGTGTTAATAACGCTTTTATCATACTTCTTAAATTCCGAAAGCAAGTATGTCTAGAAGAACATAACATCAGTTGACGATCAATAAATTATTGCTCGTTGTGCACTACCTCGATATTTTTCCATATAATTTTAATGTAGTTATCTCGATCGGGTCTCGACTGGGTGTGGAAGAAACCTAAGGTGTGCCCGATCTCATGAGCAGTATAGCCTATCTGTGCGAAAATAATGTATCAGTCTAAATTCTCGTCTGCAAAAGTGAAACCAGAAAATGAAAACAAAGTTCGAGAGACATTGCACGCGGTGTTGCTCATACCGTATCGCACAACTGGCCGAGGTAGAGACTTTGTGCGCCTCCAATCCTCCCGACGTATGTAGCACATCCAAGCCAATCGTAAACAACGACCATATCCGAAGCTTAAAACTTGATCTCTAACTCTAGAACTTTTAGCCTTCCTCGTTCTGTGTCTTCATGAAACCTGTTTTGTTTTCTTCGAACTTAATGCAGGTGTCTTCACTCCATGCACTGGCTGATTTCTTGAACACTCGTTTCGTTCTTTCGGCTGAAAAAAGTCGTCGCATTAAACCTGCCGGACATGTGAACTGTGAAGGATTTAAGACGAACTTGCGTTCGCGCCAAAAGAATAATAAACTAGTGCATTTGGCCACATCCTTGTAACATTGCGGTGAACTTGACGTTTGACGCGCTCACTTTCACCGTGTTCCTCATCATACATAGTTTCATCTTCTTCTCTGAAAGTAACAACATCAAATTAAAAAGAAACAACGTAACACAACATTCTGAGTCCGATGAACGAAGAGACTTCGTGAGAATGATATCTCCTTCAAAGAAAGGCGTGTAGTCTTTGCCGTTCTCGGTGATTTCCTCGGTCGTACCACCATTTAATTCACTGCCTTTCCCTTCTTTGTATTTCTAGAATAACTAAGCTTCTTTGCTTGACTGACTTTGATGCAATACATTATGGCTTGCCTGGATCTGGTTTACCATACTAGGATATTTTTCTGGTGAGAAGGTAGCAAGTTTCTCTTCTATTTCTTCTTCTACGTCATCCAGTTGTCCAGGTATTTTCGTATCAGTCGCATTCGGTTTCTATAAAAGAGAGTTGAGGGAAACTCAGTAAAATCAGGGTTTCATTCGATTTCATACATCTTTCAGCAGTTGGTAACCTTCCTGCGGTTTTTCTTCGAAGCTTTTCTTGTTGGCGGACGGCTCAGCTCTCATTATTGAGCTGTAGACGTTCACGCAACTAATCAGAAATGAAAGTGATATTACTCTCATCTGAAAAGTACGAAGTAAAGCGACAGAAATACGAAAAGCCAAAGGCCTGTAGTGTTTACAGTTGGGGCTTCATCTTTAAAGTTGTTCTTTAAAGTTGAGTGCAAAGTTCGTTGAGAGAGTGAGGAAGAGGGAGAGAGTTACGACGGGAATTTAAGGGCGACAGCGCAAAATCAAGGCGATGAATGACGCTTGAGTCGATCCACTTGTCTTATGTGCCAATTTGACCGTCCTAAATATTGGCAAAATATTTGAATTCTATGTACAGAACTAAGTACATTATGCGTTGCTTCAGCAAAACATGCTGTGTCTAATAGTTGACCGATCCATTTAAAATTGCAAGGTTAGACCTTTTTCTTCTTTCATCTTAACAGCGTAATGCGGTAGTAAGAGATGCTCTGTAACACAGAAAAAACCGGGTGCTAGTTCCATCCAGTGTCTGATCCAACTGAGCTATTGTTCCTTCTAGTACCCGCGAAGTGGATATGAGATTGGCGTGGAGGGATAAAATATTGTGTTGCTAGATCGGTAAGCGGATGTGGTTGCATAGACAGACATCCACTCATTCCCCCTCTATTACGCACCGAATAGAGTTAAATGCATGGCTTTTTCCTGTTGGAAGACGATTAACGCCAAACATTTCTTCCTTACTTCCTTCACGCAAATTTCCTCTAGTGTATTCAATTGTAAACACCTGCCGCGCCGTTATTCACTGAATACCTCGGCGAGCGCATGAGCCATAAAATTTTTCATTTACCCCTGTTTGCTTGCAAATATACCCCAGTGGTGTCTCCTCCCTGTAAGAATTCGCTGAGTGTCATATTGTTCTTCTCGGATTTTGTGAAGAACGTTGAACATTGCGTCGATGCTCTTGCTGCTGCACGTTTGAAAACCAGAGGAGTCCAGTCGCTAACGGCTTCTGTCCATCAGTTGGCGGCAAACGAATTACGTGTCCGTCCCAGTTCATATTCGACAAATTGGCGTATAGAACAGCGTTTTTGATTTTTGACCATTAATGCAGGTCGGAGCTTGGGATTCCTTTCCGCACTTCAGTGATACAGGATAATCTTATCATCGTTTTTTCGGTAACGCTCTCTATGATGAGGAGTGATCTTTCATTCTACTTACGTTGCGACCAGGTTTCTGACGATAAAACACGGAGAATTGCGAATCGAAAGGATGGACGGAGTCGGGTGTTCTTTGTTCTCCTTGCTACAGTCTCGATGCCCTTGAAAGCTCCACATGCCGTTCGCTTCTAACTGCTCAACTCTGTAGCTATGTCATTATGTCACTCAATCATTATGTCTACTTCCCAACACAAATGCACATTTTTGGAGTGGCTGAAGACATTCATTTTGATGAGCGTAATGAACGATCAACTAGACAACAAGTATTACAGGTGAGTACACTAGAGGACATTAACGCGAAAAGAAGAAGAAAATATGTTTCGCGTTAATCAGCCTCCAACAGGAAACAGCGATACATTCGATTCCATTTGTTGCGTTATAGGAGGTGAATGAATGCAACTGAATGCCTATGAATGCCTACACCAATTGAATAAATACCTATGCAACTGCCGTCGCTTACCGATTTACCATTTAAGGATTTTAACTCATTATTTACTGCCCACTCATTTTAATGGTGCAGTATATATTGCGAAACATAGCTTCAAGGATGCTGAGATGTTTGTAAACGAAGGACGCGCATGCTGTGGTGGTGAACGCGTCACTTCCCGGAAAGGACAATAGCACGTTCGTTCCCCATCGCAGACACCTGCGATCCGGAATTTTGCAGATATCTCAACATCATTAAAGTTATATTTCACAATATATACCCTTACATTAAGAAGAGTAAGCAGTAAATAATAAGTTAAGATTGCGACTTTAACTAGAGCTTCAGCTTAACTGGATTCGTTGCCAATTTGAACTCCTCAGATTAATCCCGCTAACGGGTGATTGCTGATGGCAAAAAAATCGATAGAACTAGCGTAATTGAAATGCCATCGAGTACTCTTAAACTCCAACTAGTTCCTAACCCCCTACATGACCGTCTATGAGCAACGCGAAATTGCATAATTTGCCCTAATGGTAGGAACGATGATTGTATGAGTTCAGGTAGAGTCTATCTGATCTTTTGTAAAGCATTAGGGAACGAATACGTTGGTGAAACGTATAGACCACTCTGCGTTATTATAAAAGAACACCTAGTTGTTAAACTTGAACCAAATACTCTACTAGGCACGCATGGGACGCAGAGGTATAACGGAGAAGATTTTGAAGCAAGGGCTGCGATCCTCGCAAAGGAATCGAGAACACAAGCATACAAAACTGTGGAGGCTTTCTGGACTAATTCCAAGAATCTGCAAGTGAACCACAGCGAGGAATGCCTCATAATCACGGGTGAAATCGCGCTGTATACAAGCCTGTTATTCTGAAGGAATGAGCACATTGCGACTCCATATGATCTGTGTGCGGTTGTTCTTCATTTAACATATCCAGTCGAAGCCTCAAAGAAGGCGGTGAGTGTGCAAAGAAGCCCCTCTGTGCTCAATGTGATTGAAATCTTGGCTTATCATTTTCTCTGTTTGGTTATGGATGTGTTTGGCCGAGTATATTGCTTTCCTAGACCTTTCCAAGTTCTGAGGAAGGCGAAATCCGCCGAAACGTCAGCTTGTATGTAAGCTAAAAAATAAAATATCATCTCATGTTTGAAAAACTAAAATATAGAAAATAAAGAATTAAGGTTTTTAGTTTTTAGATGCGACACATTTAGTATAGACCAAAGACAAGGTGAGGATCTGTCATGGACAATGGCGAAGTGTTAAAATTGTGCAAATTTTTATCATTGAAGGAATTTGTGAAGGTTATAGTCTACCATTTCAGGAGCATATGCTTCTTTTCAGAATCAGCAATGCAGAAAAGACTATTTACTAGAAAACAGCACTTATTTTACTCGATACCTTGATCAAATGGCAACTGTCCACATCCCAAAACCAGCGAGGCCACGTAAAGTGGACATATCAGAAATGCCAACTGGCTCTACTGGAATTTTTGAGCTTGTTATGCTTTATCTAAAGGCCTAAAATGCTACCAATTCTTGGAAAAAAAAGCTGAAAAGAGTTCGCTTGTTAAGAGCAGTTGGGGAAGCAGAAGAATTTAGTGTCACTGCTATTCAGCTTTCGCTCATTTGACCTTAAATAGCGTTTCTCACAGTGCTAAATTTAAATTCGAAACGAAGCCACTAAATCGTAAAGAAGACAGATGAAAATAATGATGCTTTCGAAAGTCGTTCATAGCGATATCAATGCCCTTTTGGGTGCTGTCACTGAACATCATCATTTGGAAACATGCAGGTGGGCTTGTGCACTATACGTTCATAAGAAGTCCGGAAAAAATCGGTCAGCCTTGTTCAAAGAGCTTTGCGGATTCTATCTAAATTTTTCGCACCACTGTGCGAAAGGTCTAAGGTGTGGACGATTTTGAGTGGGACCAAAGTGTCATTCGCAGGCAAGAAGAAGGAGAGAAACATTTGCCTGAACGTTTCTAAGTGTTTTCGGCTTAACGAATCAGAATCAATCACAATCAGGAAAGTTCTCAATAGAAATGACGTTACCCTGTTATCCTTAGAAATTTGCTCTAAAACGTTGAGATTTATGTTGATTAGGAACAAATCTCATGCAGTCCATCATAACAGCATTAGGGCACTGCACAACTCCGTGTAACTTATAATATTTGTGGGAGTAGTTAAGTAAAAGAAGATGCCGTCTGCTCGGTTGATTTGAAGAAGAATAGGGACCTCCTTCCAAGAATACGAGACGTAAAGCCTATGGGCCACAGTTTTCTTAATTGCGTTTTTATACCGTAGTAACGTCGAATTAGATGAGAATGTTTCAGCGACACGTATAACTCATTCAATTCGCCGTCGTAGCAGAGGAAACAAATTCTGTGATAGCGCATGGTTCTTTTCAAAAGAAGGCCGCATAACCGCTTTAAAGCAATGAGTCATACGGTATCGCAATCTCTATGTTGCTTTTGTTGAAGTGCTTATTTCCACTTTAGCATCCCATAGAAAACAAACTTCGTCGACCGCTATCCAGCTCGTATTGCTGAGATTCACGAATTACTCCATGATTTTGGATAGTATGACGGTAGTCGAGTTTATTTTTGATCGCTCACAGTTTGAAGCAAGAGTTTACCATTTGTCACCTATGGGTGATGCTGGATGGTCTCTGATTATATTACTCTTTGAAAGCCTTGACTGGTCTGCAGCCCACGCCAACTGACGTGGAGAGCTCCATAGAGTACGTGCTGTGAGGTTGCAAAGTAGAGTTATTGTGGTGAATTCGGAAAAAAAACGTTTTTTTCTGTTTTCCTCAGTGTTCTCAAGAGCTCTAGAAAGCTTACAAGGAAGACTTCTTCCCATATCAGTAAAAATTTCCGTCGTTATCTCGACATTAAACTACCCATGAATCGCAAATGCTTTCTACTAACATACAGTTTTGAATATCCGAAATACATATGATTTCAGTTCTGACGTTCGTAGTGACCTCATCTTTTCCTAATGTCTACTCTTCACAAGTGTTTGCTTTCTGAGAGAAATATTCGTTTTGACAAATTTTGTTCAACTGTTCCTAAGGTCGACATCCGCTTAACCTCGACATTTTATCATAAATGTATCGTTCACTTCTTCAGCAATCGCGAGGTTGTGATTCAGCACACGTTTACTTCCGTACGCATAGAACACATAAAACAACACAACGGTTCCGTTTTGTTCACTAGAATTGTGAAAACAATAGCATGTCAGCATTATTCAGAATGAAGACACTTAATTATTCGAAATATTCTTCCTTAATATTACGAGACTGGCCCATGAATCGCCGTCAACACGTTCTTATCGAGATTTTGTTTTCGTCTCAGTAACAAAGGCACCCTTCATTCATTTACCATCGCAAACAGATTGAATGTATCGCGCAAAAGTGAACAAAGTCAAGCTTCCGTGGATCCAATAAAGTTGTGAGTAATTTCGCAGTCCTTCTTCTACACGCATTCAAAAAACACATGACCATATTGTAAAGCCAATCCAACAGACAACTTACTTCATCCAGCCAAAGAAACCGCGAATGTTCAGGGATTGGATGATCGCGGAAGTCAGATTTCTTTAAATTCATCGTTTTTCCCAGTCTTCTTTTCGTTTTCACGACGTCGATTGGTCGCATGCTCTTTTAGTTGGCGATTTGCGGAAACATTTTCGTGGTCGGCACTAAATGTAAGGCGGTTATTACCCGGTAATTCTTTAATGTTGCACAGTGACATGAAATGTCACTTTATTTGGGCAATTATCTGCGGCTGATATTGGAAAGGTGTATGGCTCTCCAAGGAGTCAGAGATGAGAAATATAACATAATGCGGAATTTTTAAACAAACACTGGAATCACATCCAGAACCATGCCAAAAGTAGAGAGAAGATTCGTTTTCTATTAGCCAGCAGTCCGATTTTGATCATTTTCTCATTATTTCACTTATTTCTTTTACGAAATTTTAGCCAGTAAGCAGCCTGTTGTCGGTTATATCAGGGATGATATACAATCTTTCACTTCCGATCTGGATCACCTAACCCTGAAATCCAAAGCAGAACACCTGCAGAAGTCTTCCGCACACCTTAAGATTTCGAAAAAGGTAAGGCTTCTGAAAAATGAACACCAGGTTAATAGAAAACACTTTGTTCTGCTAAGGTTTCGGCACCTTCTTCTTCAGAGCTATATGGATCCATGTCAACTGTCTACAAATTTTCCTTCTTTCGATGTAGCTCTTCGTGACATCATCGTTTCGAATACCGTGGAACACCACTCGAATGACAAAGTCACTCGGTGGTGCTTTTTATACTGGACGGTTTTTGTTGATACTGATTGTTCATTGATAACCTTCGTTTTTCTCTGGGCAATGTAACTGTTGGTTATTTCCCTAATTTCCCACAGGGACATAAACTCTTACGATTAACTGCTGGATCCAACATGAAGATCCACATCGGAAGAGGCTGTGGACAATCGACATGTATCAACCCTGCTCTGAGGAAGACGAAAGCGCTGACACATTAGCGGAATAAGGCTTTCTATCGAACTCGTGTTGGCTCTTCAGTGGGGAGGCGCTTGCTGACTAGTCAAACCGACGAAGAAACAAAATCCGGTTTTTGAATTAAAGCCTTTGCATTAATTCTATTATGTAGCGAACGCTTCTGATAAAAAGGTAACCAAGAAGAGGTTGAAATGATTTGTCGGCGTTTCATCACAGCACCTGCTTCCATAGAAGGAAGTGAGCGGGGAAATGTGACTAAGAGTGCGTAGTTCGATGACGCTCTTATTGCGTTCTCACAGAAAAGGCATTTCATGAACGAAAGTGCTTCCGGTTTTCTGTCAGAATAAGTGCAAATATGTAACGTGGTAGAGTTAAGAAAGCGGAAGTCTTCAATTGCAGGCTTCACGTTCACGGAAAGGCTAGACGTGGGTCTGAAGCCCACCTAAGACCTCGGGTTCTGTTCATACCTCAGCATTCACGTGGTTGTATTTCACATAGTGCCCTGCCATGAAAAATGAATAGGCTGTAAATGAAAGTTGAGACATTGCGAGATGATATTTTATGTTATTTCTATGCTACAACACAACAAGTGGGGTGACCTGTGAGTACTAGTGTTCCATGCAGACTTCTGCTGTGAGGAGCAAGAGATGCGACAACCGTTGAAAGCTCTCGATTTTGACAAGCAGTTCCGAGGCCTGTTGTTTGATTATGTGCATCACTTCAGCGAGGTAAGGTACACGGTTGTCGGGTTGCATTGCACTGCTGGAGTAGTATTATTTGAGTACTGTAACTCATATTGAGCTAGGGTTAGAAGTTTTCGTCGGAAGGCTGATTCGCGAGTAAATTAATCTATGAATATGCCATTGAAAAGCGAATTTGAGGATTTGCCAAGTTAGTGGAAACATGAAACAACCCAAATTTCCAGATATACTGTTTTCTAAACAAACTGCTTTAAAAGTGCTATCTATTGTGTGACTGTTTATTCAAAGGAGCACGTAGTTACTGGCAGTTCTTTATTGCTAGAAAATGCTCTTTAGGTAAGAACTGTTTCGATGCCGATGAAAACGGTGCTGGGAAATCGAGGAGTCTAGACAGAATTCCTCACCAAGCTCATGAAATTAAGTGCGCCTTCCAGCCTTCTACTTCAGTTCACGTTTGTGTCCAAAATTGATTGGCAGGCCTGAAACCTAATGTACTCTTCTTCAATTATGATTTCTCTATGCACGTGCTGCTTTACAGTGTAAAATATAGAAGCAAACCAAAAAAGTGAGTGTCTATTGATTGTTTTTAGCGTTTAATAACAACATTAAGGCATGGTTTTGGCTTTTCTTTTTCCTTGACCATCTCGTTGGGAGAGAATTTCCAGTTTTCCCGAGCAGGAGGCGTACCCTGACGTGTTCACAAAGGTTGGTGTTCTTTTCTACGACCGTGCTGCCGTCCTATTTTCCATCCATGAACGATTGAAATTTGACGGAGAGGTATCGTTTAATGGGGTTTCATAGTGATCTTGGTTGAAAGTATTTTCTGGGTCGTGCAGAAGAAAGAATTCCTCTTCCCCGTCAGGTTGCTGACAAATGCTGGTGATGGTGCAGAAGCAGTACGTGTGGTCATCAAGCAAGTTGCTGACAACTTCTAGGTTGGTTTTGTAAAATTAAGTGGATTTACAATTTTCCAGTTTTTTATGTTACAGGTGACGCCAACCGATGTTCTAAAGGCTGTGAAGGTGCGTGACAGCGAATGTAACAAAACCATTCAAAAGTCCTGAGCCATGCTGTGTCACAAAAAGAATCTATGGAGATGTGCGTTTTTTAATCATATATGAATGCATAGGCCTACGTATGCACACACAAAAGATACAAAAGAAGGATAAAGGATAAACTCTCGGCACTGATCAATCCCTGAGGGATACGTCATGACTTCATTGAGTATCGTTAGAGGTAAGTGAATTCACATCTGGCGTTTGCAATAAATCGCGGTGGTCTATCGATGTACGGAGCCAGTGCTGCTATCTCGCAGACAAGTCTGGCACCAACCCGCCGACCGCGGAGGGATGAGAGGCTTAGTGGGCCAGAGGTGCTGAGTTCGATCCCATGTGTGTTGCGGGGCGCCTCCGACCACTACGCCACAAGCGCACATATATACGTACATATGTAAATATGCATGTATAGAGAATTCCTCAATCAGATAGAGAATTCTCTATCCGCATAACTAATACAGTCCACGGATCGATGGGGATCGCGTGGCTGCAACGCCACGCGCGTCCTCTGCGTCCATATCCCGTTCAGGCATAACTAATACATATGTATTCTTTCTTGATAAGCTTGCACGAGGTTGATAAATATATTTTTTTCAGCTAACGTTTCGGTTTCGAAATATTACTACGCTTTGTGCTAGCTGATAATACACCGACCTCTGCACGATGTGCGCAATGATGTATGTCCGGAAGAAATACAAGTTGTTACCACCGGACATTGTCATTATATATCCACCATCAGCATCGTGTATAAAAGGGCATCACTGAGTGAGGATGCCTCATTCGAGAAGATGGCTCGCTGAGGAAGATCTGGCCCGACAGGAAGGCGAAGACGCAACGTCGGTTTTCGAAATCTTAAGATGTGTGGAAGACTTCTGCAGGTGTTCTGCTTTGGATTTCAGGGTTAGGTGATCCAGATCGGAAGTGAAAGATTGTATATCATCCC